TTGGAATAAGTAGACTATGTGTTTAAAAAAATACGCCAAACTAACTTAAATTTATAACTTACTTTTTAATATTGCGTATTAACTATAGAAAAGAAAATTGATATGAACGCGGAAATAATTATTGATGATATTTTTCATATTTAAATAAAATCTCCTTACTCCGATCGTGGTGTCCTATCAAAACATGTGTAAGTTTATTGTTTGGTTTTAAATTGAATAGGACTAACGATTTATGTGTATCAGTATATATGTGAAGATATATTATGTATATATGTAATGTTCGTAATAATTATTTGTTAAGACTTCGTTGTTAACCTGTTTATCCTTGATTTACAGATTTTAATAATACACATTTAATTAAATATAAATTATGTTTAAATTTCTTAACCTGTCTAATAATAAATTTAAGATATCTGCATAAAAATTTACAGAACACCTAATATAGATGAACGAACACGATCTTTAGTTACTTTCCAATAGTATTATTTAATTGACTTAACATATAAAATTTCTTAATATTTTAATCGTTTTTTGAAGTCGGTGCCTTCTAGGATTAAATAATTAAACACTAATTTAGTTTATTTTAAAAATTATTTTTCCTGAAGTCAAGACATGGTATTGTATAACCTTTGTTTAGGAAAACGTAGTGTAGCATGACTATAAGCACGATGGACTGAGTAGTATAAACGAACGCGTTTAGTGCCTGTCATGTTTAGTTGAATAATAGGTATATAGGTGTTGTAAGAATGAATAGGAAGAAAATAGTATCACAGACATCTCTTCAACTAAGTGAGACTAACTGTTCAGAAATATTTTTAAATAATTTTGAGATTAACTCCTTGTATTAGATATAAGACTATTAAAGTTCATGGAGGATATAATTAAAATGACCTGGTTAGTGGTTATGTCTAGATCCCTGACGTGTTCAATATTGATTAGTACTGAAGACAAACCAATATTGGCAGTTGATACGTAGGAGCCAACCTGCGTCATAAAGGGAAAAATATACAGAATATACATTACACTCAATTTGTTAAAATGACATCGACGGATATGAAATGGAGCTATAAAATTAACTTACAAACTAAATTTAGTAAACCGGTGAGTTAGTCATTCTATACATTATATACTGATTAAATGAATGCGCGGAGGTAATTAGAAAAACTACCAGAGTCGTTGGTTATAGGTCTATTATTAAATGCATTTATTAATATTGGCGAAGTAATGTTTTCACCACCACGTGTTAGATTTAATTTTTTGTCTTAATATCCTATGGAGTGAAACAAGACTGTTTTACTGAGACTCATTATTCTTTCATTTATTTGGCCATCTATCACCAGATCACATCTTATGTATGGTGACACTCATTTAAACTTGTCACGGTTCATGTATTTCTGAACTCGTCATAAAAATGTAATTAAAAATAAATATCTTTTCTTAGTCGATGTATTTTTTGTCTTCTATTTTCATTAAATTAGCATTATATGAATATTTCAAGTATATCTAGATCATTGTTGTAAATTAACAAATTTGTTAATAAAGTAATACAAATTTATGTCTCGAGAGGTCCATTACAAAGAGAATAAAAATTCGGTAACACACTTTGGGAATGTCCGTGTAGGTTTTTAGCTCAAATAATGTATGAACATTTATATGTACATATGAAACTCGTTTTCATTGGAGAGAGCTATTGTGGTGTCTCACTTACATTAACTGAAATATCTTCTCAAAAACTATTCTACTATCGCTCATTAATGAAATTGTGTTAAACTTATATTGAATTCTATTTCTACATTTTTTGTTCATGAACAGATAAAATATATATTATGTATTTGGTCAAATGTCAATTAACAAAAATGTCTAATCAGTGAAACTTTTATTAAACTACTTGCATATATAGAAAATGTTATATGAATTATAACTTATAAAACTGGTTTTAGCTCACAATTTATTTAGATGTGAATAAAGATTTATTTTTAAAATATTGACAGACTGTGACTGTGATCTAAACAAGACTTGCGATGGATTTACCAAGATTGATTCAAATCCATTTTGCTTCGTAATATATTTTTTCTGATAATATCATTCAAAGTTATGAGATGAATTGATTTAACTGTACTTGTTTTATATTTTCTTCAACGTCTGTTGTGCGAACATCAAAATCGATGACATGAGAGAACAGTATATACAATTGCAAAAGAATCGCAGGTAAATAGTATGAGTAGACTTTCTGCCAATAGAATTATCATAAGGAGAAGGACGCCTACGATGTTATTATCGCAGTCGGAAGTAATAAGTATGGGTGGATATTTTGAAATCTCTTAATTCCAGGGGACTTTCTCCCAGTAACTTATCGTAAGGAGAAGGACGCTTTTGATATTATTATCTCTGCAACGTCACCCGACTGGAGGTAGTGACCTATATTTGGGGGACGGGTACAGTAGAAGCGCGTCTACATAATAAATTAAAAGAGTAAATTTTTATCGCTGTCTGTACGCTGTGTGAGAAAACGTTTCTATAAAAACCCCATTTAGTTCTACGGATCCTGTTTATTTTGACTTTAAATGTTGTCAGTTTAATTTATGCTGCTGTTAGTTTATTAATAATGTATGTTTTCATAACATGAATAGATTTGTGAGTGGCATATTTTACTTACGACCAATTTTATATAGCCTACGAGTATATCTATAAATTAAGTAATTTTTAATGATAAAGTTAAGGAAATCTTTATTAAATGACTCAGGTCATTTCATTTTTTTTAAATTACATACAATGTGAGGCTAAGGGATTATAAATTATTTAGTATATTGTAACTAGATATTTCAGAAATCAAAATAGAATCGAAATTTTATACAAATGAAACCAAAATAATATTTAATTATTTATTTAATGATGTATGTACTTATTTTTCAATATAATCATATTTTATAATCTGTATACAAGTTTACCCTAATAAATATTTAACACGGCTTTATATACAAATACATATTTCGACAAGATAAAAAGATTTCATGTGTTCTTAGATATTCCACTAATATTTACAAGTATGTTACGCAAGCATAACCCGATATTAAGTTTTCGGTATAACAATTGTGTTTACACAATGTACTTTAGTACGGAATGCTGACTCTGAGCCATCGGTGGGAATGGGAAAGTGAAGTGGACACCACACGCCTTGCACCATCGGTGAGAATAAAGAATGGGATTTTTACATATATTCAGTCTGGAGTCAACCACTGACATACAGATACCTCTTTAGTATGTAGTTAGTTATAAGACTTAATTATAGAATGGGTCTTAAGTCAATCGCTGACTTAAAGACCCCGCCCTAGCTAGTAGTTAAATTTAAGTCTTAATTGGTAATTGAATATATTTTGTAAGTAAAACGGATTTTTCTTGCATCCTTCGCTGCCACCAAACGTAACTAGTATAACAATATTTACAAATAAAATCGCAATAATATTAATTATTTTCAATTTATTTAACATAATTATTTATGATAGAATTATAATTATTACATCAATTTATTCATTATATATTTGTACGCGGTAGAGATGAGAGCGAGAGGTATAACTTGGGTAAACTATACTCGGAGGGCATACAGTGACTTACGTGTGCAATACAACAATGCGTTCAGGAACTTTTCTTTCTGAATTGTTAAGAACATACTTATTGTAATAATTTAATATTTGTGGTAGAATCTTTGCAGGGTTTCTTCTACACTGCAAAAGTTAGAAAACTTTGGGACATAAAAGAATAATTAAGCAGCTGGAACGCTATATTCTGGAGGTTCTAGGTTCAAACACTGCTCGTGTCGATGAATTTTTCACTTTATATTCTCTATTTATAAATTTTCATTGAAATATTGCCGCTACATTACTTTGATGTTATAAAACATAATGATTCAAATTAATTTTTCTATTTATCAAGAGTAAGCTTCTAGATAATGTTATTATCGTAGAAAAGACTATATAGTGTAAATGAAACAGATTCATAAGTTATAAACTTATTAATTTAATTGTAAATATTAAATACTGAGATCTTTAAGAAGAATTGACTATTTAAATAGTATTTTGCTTATATTCATTTATTATAATGTTCCCTTACTACGCTGGGATTGTGACGCTGTTTGTTGGATCGTAAAATTCTCGTCAATATGATTGAGTGAGGCTTTTAATGTCATTCACTTAATACTTGTAAAGTACATAAAAACAATTATTACCGTAACAGGTAATTCTGGTGGCGTTTATAGTTTTATGACTTTAGAAGTTTGATAGTATATATTTATTTTGAAGAGAATTTACTTATAAAGAGATTTTTTTAATAAGTGTTAGACATAATTATATATATTGTTCAATTAAGATTTCAAAATTGTGTAAATGTTATTAGAAGAAAAAAAATGATTTTTTTTTTATTTTAAGATTAAAAACTATTTAGGAGTAACAGTAAAATATGATATACATAATTTTATTGTTGATCAGAGTTTTTCATCTAAATGAAAGACAACTGAAAGAGAAATCGCAAGGAATAATTTGAATTCAGGACGTATTTTTATTAGTCGTCAAATTTTTCTGACGATGTCTTCAAAATTTAAGCAAACGAATATGAAATGTACTTGAACCTAAAGTTTATCTAATGTATAAAGGACTCGGCCATCGTGTTGGATTTAGATACGAATAAGATTCTCGTACATAAAATATAATATGTGCGACACAAATATTACATGTAACAATTTTGTACAGTGATCTATTTTAAATAAACCATTAAAAAGTATTGTTCTCTTTTGTTAAGTTCAATATAAGGCGTGAAATAAATCCATTCCGATTTACTATCATTAATATATAATTTTGCTCTTTTATCGTTCAAACTTATATAGGATATTTTGTTTTAAAAGAGTAAGAAAATGAATTGTTGTAATTTCTAACTGTATTGGAAGTTTAATAAACAAACACAACGACAGAAACTTGGTAAAAATACAACGTTTGAAAGGGTCAAAATTATTACAAACCTGGTATTGCGTACACTAACGTAAAGCTAAATGTACCAAATTGATTTCTCGTGTCTGGATTGGGCCAATCTTCTGTATAAAAATGTACATCTTTAGTCTCTATCTGAAGCCAAAATATATTTAAACATAGTCATACTAAAATTAAATGATCACACTTGAAGTGTTTCGAGTAGAAGTAACTTATTTGGATACTTCATGTGAACAGTAACTGTTAAAAATGTATCTAGTTTCCAGCTTAATTACACATTTCCCTTGTGATTTAAACTACAATATTATGCACATGTAACAATTTTAATATTATATTAAAAGGGTTACAAATTGTTGTCAACATCACTTCGTTATGGAACTGTTAAGTTTCATTTCCCGTTTTTTTTTTGTATATAAAATGAAGTTAACACACACACTGTGTAGTATTTTGTCAGGTCAGAATTTGTTAGGGTTGCGATTGAACGAAAATTCTAGTTTTATTTTTTATTAAAAAAGCAAGCTTTTGTCTAACACGTTTTTATTTCATAAACATTTTCAGTGAAGAGTTTTTGTCAAAGAACTTTTTGAAATAAATTTCAATGAATTGTGTAAATTGATTTCAAACTTTTTAACACTAACCACATGTTTTATTTTTTATGGAATACGTTACTTACTTGTTATATTTTATCCAAATTTATGACATTAAAGTAAATAAGTTAATATTACATCATGATGGTAAAATGCAAGTGGTTTTAATGTACCCCATGTTTGATTGTTAATTATTCAGAATAAAATTTGGTAATCAACATAGTTATAAACATCGAAAGGGCAGAAAAAGCATGATCCATAAAAAGTAAGCGTTAATGGAGAGATATAACTAAATTATTGACTCCAGATTTAAATCAGAAATCCAGATTATAAAAAGTTACATAAGAACTTCGTACTCGACTATAAAATTTGTATGTCTATTATACAATGTGAAACTTACAGAAATATTTTTTTCTGTCTTGGATATTATTGGAACAGATTCTTTTCGAACTGACGCTACTAAGAATAGCGGTATGAAGATCAAAAAAGTTACGATCCATAACAGCGTGAGTAATAATAAAGCCTGTCGTCTGCTGGGGGGCGAAGCCGAGGTTCTGGAGCTATTGACAGCCAACGAACGATCCACCGACATAGCTGTGAGAGTAAATACACTAGCTGCGACGACAACACCTGAGAACAACAAAGATCTTTAAAAAAAAGTTACTCGAGTCATGAAAGGTGAGTTTGGGAATTGAAACAAAAATATGAATGCTAAGGAAATGCTAAGTTTGGGCTCTGTAAAAGTTCATCTTTCATCGTGCGATATAATATCAGCACATAAAAAATGAGTGCAAGGTGGTTACCGAAACTTCTTTCAGCGGAACAGGAGAAAGTGACTGCGCCTCGAAAATTCAAAAACTGTGTTCGAGTGACCAGTGGCTAATAAAAGTATATCGAAAAAATAAAAAGAATAAAGTGAATTCAATATTATTCGTGGATGATGATCCTACCTCGCGCTTGCTCCTCTAGCTACAATACACGCTTGTCTAGCAAAGTGTCGGAACTATCAAAATTAAATATTGTCTTCTGAGGAAACATCGTCTACTCATTACCCAAGCATTACATGAGTATAAATATTTGCTTTGTATTATAAATTAAACACAATTATAAGGAATGTACATTTGGTGTATTTGGTAAGGGGTTGCCACTATCTTAAGTGTCAATGTGTCAAATGTGGAAATGTATAAAGTATTTTTTTTAATATTCTAGAAAGTTATTTAAAAAAATCGCTCTTTTTATATGACAAAAGTAGATACAGATCTAGTTTATTTGACATACCTTTAGTACTATTTATCTGCTAAAGCCAATATAATCCAAATTTCATAATGGGCCATCGTTCTTACCTGTGTTGTGAGTATGCACTGACAAACTATTAGCTTTTATAAAATAATGGTGTTGGGTTCACGAGCTCTTAGTCTTAATTACCTTTCATAACGTTTTACAGACTGAGTCTTCATTTTACTGCCATTTATGTTCTGGGACCACTTATTAAATAAAGACCATTTTAGACATTCATTAAGATAGTTCTCTCTAGTAGACTTATTATTAATGTTAAGGAGATATCTCGGTAATGCGTCGCTACACTACACTCTTTGTCACACCTCAGAAATATTATATCAAACCTTAACAGCACACTAATTAATATAATAGTTTACTTTACATCTTCACTAGATTTTTTAACGGACTACATGAACATATTTCTAATTGCAGATGCCAAATAAATTTTTACCAATACTTCATCATGGAAATCGCTGAGTATTGCCTTCTGAATTCAATTCTATTGTATCTTTGTGCTTCTTCTTGTTTAAAATAAGGATAATGATAATGATATTTATCTTTTGTCGTGACAAACAGATTTGTTCTTTAAGCAATTTATTACTTCAAACTACTATTGATTTATTTGATTTCTACAGAATTCGTTTGTCACAGCAGCTATTTGATTCTAAAAAGATTTCCCGGTAACTATAGGTAAAGCTCCTTCAAAATTCCAGTTCTAATATCAAATAAATACAAATTTCCTATATTATCTTAATCTTTATCTTTTTTCTTGATAATCAAAATAAATATAAGTAATTATAAATAATTCTCTTTCATCTTATTTTTTCAATTTATTTAGTTAGTCAATCATCACATAGCTTTTTCTACTACATCTCGCAGGTTAGTAAGTAGCGAATGTAATAAATGAATGAATACTTTCACTACAATTAATAAATAACTGGTTAAAAAATAATTAACAGTTCAAATATCATTAAAATTTAAATGATAATTAAGATTTTCTATCTTCGTAATTGAATCAGATTGTAAATACAAAGCATGCAAAATCTTTAAGTCCTCAAAGGTTTTTTCAAAATTATTATCAACGATAAGTCTCTGATCCTGGTCGAGTTTGATAAACATTGGTTTTTTACAAGACGAAACCTCTTAGCATTCAATGGATTCACCGTGCGGGTGCCGGGTCCATCGCGTTGCAGGGAGAGGAGCTTCAACAGTGCCTGGGACTTGCGACCCAGGTGTAGGTTTAAGGGGCCACTTTTCTAACGCGCATTATACGCTCACCTCCACTGTCCAAGCTCCTCTCCCTACCTAACCAAATTTGAAAAGAACCTACTAGGGCTGCCTTCGACGTACGTTCCAAGAATGAATTAATGTTAGTTCTGGACAGGCCCAAGTCTTTTAGTAGGTTATAGAGAGATTTAGCTGTTATACCTCTCGCTCCCACCTCTACCGCGTATAAATCGACGACGAACCTATTTCGAATTAGTTCGTTAGTGAGCTCGTAATACTTATTGACGTTGATGGCATGATCTTTGGGGATGTTGGTTTCCCAAGGCACCGTAAGCTCTATCATCACAATGCGCTTTAGAATACGCGAATATAGAAATATGTCTGGTCTGGAGGCCGACGCACAAATATCTTCGGGGATTTTGTATTGTTTCTCATACGTATCCATCATGACAGTCCAGTTAATTATATTTATTATAAAAAACGAAGAAAATAGTTCATACAATTAAAGAATTTAAAAGCAAAAGTATTAATAGTTATTCTTTTATCCGCAGACAAATAGAATAGTATTTAATTACATACTTATGATAACTGTCATTTGTGATTTTAATTATAATATCAAAACAACGCATTATTTGTGGAGGTATTTTTTCTTTTGTATTTTTGTTATATTCTGTTGGGTGAAAACAGACCCGATGATAAGGGGTTTTTGCCGCGGCGAATTTTTTAGCGTTCTTCTTATAGTATAAAGTACAGGTGTATAGAAACATCGGAAAAAAATAGATTTTATTTATTAAAAGAATGTTTACTACTATTTTGGAGTGGGTTCTGTATTATATATTTTTTTATTGAACTGCCAAAAGAACGATGATTAAAATGACTTATATATGGATGTATTTCGGAAGAATTAAAATATTCCTAGCTGCTAGAATCTTAATTGAAAATCACTGACCTGATAGCTTGGGATCGCTCTTGAAATGACGCCATTCTCTTGTTCTGGCATTTGTAATAAAAGCAAAGCGATTAATCACGAAAGACTAGACACGAAAAATACAATCTATTATGTGTACCAGTCAAAAATATTGTTGAACTATACAGACACATACAATGATATATTAGTATATAAATACTGTTACTATACAAACCTTGTATATAATTTACGATCTTGCAGACAGTCTCCCCGTAAAACCAGACCAGAGTGATGGCTTTACTGAGCTGAATCGGCATGCACACCCCCGTCACCAGCAGATCAGCTAGAGATAGGTTCACGAGGAAGATGTTCGTGACGCTAGAAAAATATATACTCATTATACACAATCAGACCGGTGACTTTCGGTGGAACTTTATAGTCCAGACCAGTAAATATTCAAGTAGAAAATTATTAACTTTATTTATTTACATGCCGAACGGTAGTATGTACGATTTGCAAAGTAAAAAAAATGTAATGGTATTTATTTTTTATTTTATTATATTTTGAAGTTTTAATAGGACGTGTATTTTATATATTTTTTGATTAAATATCTACATTGTTTCATGATGATTCTAGGTGAAAACTTGTTGCACATATTGGCATTAACCTAGTTAGATATATACGGTTTATACGAAATTCGAACAAACCTTAATCTGGAAAGAATCAGGCAGATATGAAAGTAAATAACTAGACCTAGTTCTAATAAACATATATATCTATAGTAATAAATTAATTTATTAAGGAACTTAACTAGTTGGAACATGTTATTAAGTTAATAGTTCACTCATCTATTTCGAAGTCATTAATCATATTTGTTTTTAATTTCCATTTCTTGACGTATAAATAGGTAAAACATTAAACCCAGCACATGTGAATGTTTGATATTAATATTGTTGTTAAATAAGATGATGTTCTTAATGTTTACTGATGTAATTTATATTTGTTATGACTTTTTTTAAGAATTTATCAAATATTAAAATGTTCCTCTTTTTATACAACTCAATTACTCAACGACTAAAAGCATTTCATTACCTGCTACTTAATTCTTTCACGTTTATCTAGTCAAGTAACTAAAGTAAGCAATAAGGGTTTTAGGCTTCAATATTTTACACTGTCTAAATAAATCCTTATTTTAAAAACGATTTTTCACGATTTTCTGTTTTGCTTATAGGTTGACTGGTAGAGAATGCCTTTAGGCATTAAGTCCGCCTTTTGTGTCAACGTTATTGTAGTTTGAAAATAAAGTTTTAAATAAATTAATAAATAAATTTCAAGTAGAAAATCTAGGATGAGAAGTTCATCGCCACGAACGTGTTACGAATCTGCAATCTCCGGAATATATTATTAATTTATTTTTCATTTGTTATTATATTTTGATGTTTTAATAGGACTTGTATTTTATATTATTTTTTTATCATTAGATATTTCCATTGTCTCAGCATTGGTGAAACAAAAGGGAGAAAGAATTATACGAAACTGTTGCGGTCAAATAATGAAGTTGTTCTACCATTACGGAACTACGAGTACTAAGGAAAGTACTACGGAAGATGAATGACTTGTCGGTCACGAAACAATTAGATGACCTTCGTATAGAAATAGTTTTAGTGGTAATTAAATATCTCACATAAAAACACCTAACTAATAATAATTAAATTGGTGGTAAGTTTCTTACTAGAATTCAACAAGTCGTAAAATTAATTCTTAATATTTTACAAAAATTTGAATGGGACCGTTATTCCTGAAATTGATTTTGTAATTTAAATTATTATTGTTTAAAAATCTAGGGGCGGTATTTATTTAATATCATATTGTGATTTGTAACTCTTTGTTGTATGTTAGATGTAAGTTTTATCTTTTTATAATTATGATATATATTTTTAATCTGTTTTTACAAAAATCACGTAGAAAATAACAATTCATCTGAATATTAAACAATTATGAATGGTATTCAAATACCCATATGTAACGATTTAATATTATACTTTCTAGACTCTTTGAGAGTTGCTTAATTTCATTGCTATGTTTTTATTTCGATCACTTTAAACAAACTTATTATAATTCAGAGGAAGAAATGTTTGTCAATTTCATATATTTAATGTAAGCGATTAATTTCGATGATTATCTTGATTAACAATAATATAAACTAGATTAAAGCAAGATGTGTTTGTGTTTCATTGCTAAAATGATTTGATGTTAATGCAATAGACTCAAAATAAATAGTGGATTTATGGATAAAATGATATAAAAAATATTTAAAAGGAAGATGTTCTAAGGATGAAGTTTTTTTAACTTTAATATTATTAGATCTTTAATAAATAACAATAACAATTACAAAACTTTATTTTCTTGAAAGTACTTTGGTAAATTATAATGTTGAGCAGCTTCAATTTTATAACATTAAGCGGTGCAGTAAAATAGGACCCTAGTTTGATAAAAAAATATTCACCTAAAAGAAAATAAATGTAATGAATATCGTAAAGAATACACCCATTTTAAAATAGCAAAGTTTGAAATAAATATTTTAACGAAATGTTTTTTCATAGCCGTTATTAAGTTAGCCTGTGATCCAGTCGCCTGGCGTTATATAATAATTAATTAATAAATACAAATGTTAGTGTATAGTGAACTTTCGTGTACCCTAAATGTAGACTTCATTTAAGTAATTTTATTGGGATTCTAACAATAAATAGTGTTTGATATTATTTATATTAATTAATATTACATTCTATAATTTACAATATTGCTGTCATATAGATACGATCATTAAAATGTAATTAATTATTAAACATAAATGTAATAAAACAGGAAAAATATACATTTTCACAGAAATATGATAGCACCGATTTTGTGTATGAAGAAGGTGAAGAATAGGCACAACCTGATCCATTTACTCAGAAGCCTTATTCACAAAAAAGAAGTTTATTTTGTTATGAAATACGATGAAGTATGTAAATTGATCGATAAAACAGTTTATATTTGAAATTATAAAGTTTATTTATTTATTTAGATTTACCTTTTAGTCGTTGGTGGCCTATTGGTTAAAGGGCCCGCCTCTCCTGCATGAAGACGTGGGTTCGATCCTGCCAAGTACCAATGTGATTTTACCGAGTCACATATACTTTCTAAGAGCATTTAGACTCCACTGACATATGGTGAATGAAGACATCGTAAGGAAACCTGAACTTATCATTTCACAATTATAAGTATGAAATCACCAGCCCGTCTTGAGCAAGCGTGGTGATTAAAGCTCAAACCTTCTCCGTGTGAGAAAGAGGCCTTTGGTCAGCAGTGGGCTCTGATAGGCTGATGACGTTATCTGAAAAGCAAATATAAATTAAAAACTAAAATACTATCTTATTAAATAATGTTTAAAATAATATCTACATAAACTTAACATTTTGTTAATTTTAAATAAAAGTTTTGATCTTAACTATCTATTAAAAGATCACAATTATTACGAAGGGTTTGTGGATAGGATTAGATAACTTATAATTATGATCAGTGTCGAATACTTTTGTTGAATACTGAATGTGCAATATTTTCTTATCAGTTTCAATTGTTCAATATACATATATCACTTCTTGTAATGATACTACCTGTACCTTACAAGTTGAATGACAGCTTTTTGTTCGCTTAAAATAAAATACTGAACTAATTTTTATAAAATTTTACAGCATATGCAATGTACTATAGTATTAAAATTATTTTATTTAATTTAACATACGGATCAGCGATGGAATTTCAAAAACAAAGAGAAATAACAAATCAATTCTTTATTTCAATAAATGTAACGTGTTTCCAAGGTAGCACTACTAGGTTCTTTTCAAATTTTATTAGGTAGAGAGTGGAGCTTGAACGGTGGAGGTTAGCATTTAACGCGCATTAGATAGACACACATACATACTCGTACCTAGAAATACTAACACATAGTAAAACTTTTAACAGTGTTATAAAATAAGAAAATTCATATATGCACCTTGCCATATTTGGATTTAAATAACTGTCTTCAACAGTGAGCTTGTCCATCGACCATTTTCATTTAACTATTAATACACTCACAAACACTGTCACTACTTTATTTCAGACTTTAACTCGCACTAATTACTTTTGGTGTCAGCTAAGGATGCAAGAATAATCTGCTTTTATTATGAAGCAATATTCAATTTAACAATTAAGACTTATATACATATAACCTGACTTAAGACCCATTATTAAACATATAATTAAATCTTATAACTTTCTACACCCTAAATAAGTGTCTATAAGTCAGCGGTTACCTCCAGATTGAATATATGTTCAAATCCCATTATAAATTCCCACTGATGGTGCAAGGCGTGTGAAGTCGTCTTCATTTTTCCATTCCCACCGATGGCTCAGAGTCAGCATTCCGTACTTTATACCATTGTCATACTGTAAACTTAATAACTTTTTATGCTTACGTAACACACTTGTAATTCGATAATCTTCCTCCTGGGTGTAAAACATTACAATAGTTTTAGTAATTAATTATTTAAACATAAAATCTTAATATTGCAACTGAACAGTTTATAGAAAACATAATTGATTAACATTGTTTACGAATTGGTTACTAATTAAGGTTACTTTTTACTTACAGTTGCAGAATGATTAATCGTCACATATTACAAATCATGGTACGAATTAACTTTTACTGTTCTTTAATACAAATTATACAACGATCTATAGAACAAATAATTTTGTTAAAGAAATCACTAACGCAATGACGTTAGTGATTTTTTTATGTCACATCTACCCTCTAAAGTAAAATAATTATGAAACAAATACCCCTTATAAGGGTTTTAAATGTTGTTGCGCCGATATATACATATATAAAACATTTATCTGAGGCAGCTCAAAAGGGAATTCCAATATATATTTTATAATAATTTAGTAAGCTAAGTAAGGGCTATGAATAACTGGTTTTTAAGCGCAAAAGATTAGATGGAGCTCAGTATGTATTAAGAAAACAAAGAATACTCTCAAAAATTTATAAGTATTTGATTTAAACCGATTTGTTTAACAAAATAATGAACAGGTTTTACTGGTAAATTTTTGGTGATACTCTAATTTAAATATGAAATGTCCATTCCTCCAATGATAGAAAAACTTCAAATAAAGGCGCTTGTTTTTGATAACCACATTATTTCTTTCCACGAATACATCATGGTAATCCAGTGATGAAGGGTGCCAACAATTAGATAGGGTTTTTGTATATTTTTTTCTTTTGTAGCATGCCCCGCAGGCTGCATAAATCAGATTCATATAACAAAGGGTCCTAATCTACTTATGAAAACGGAAGTTGTAGTCGCCAGTCGTCGGT